ATCAGCTGCGAGTGGCTTCTCGCTGTATCGCGTTCGTTTCACACCGTGGAACATTCTTCCCTCGAGACATTCATATACGAACACCGAGCCGATCGCAGATGCAACGCTGAATACAGCTCAACACCGAGTCGTTGCCAAAGGGGAACATTTGCAGTGAGTAGCCTAGGAGCGTGAAAACGACCTAGACCACTCCCTGGGTGGTGAAGTTCCTCGTGCAATGCCATGCTCCATCACCGCGTACGGATACTGTCCCGTTGTAAAACTGCTGCCAAATTGTCCAGAATCCTTGGACTTGGCCGACACAGCGGCGGAATCGGGGCGAAATTCAGCGAATTCTTCCATAGTATCTTAAGTATCTTAATCTTCTAACTCAGATACATAAATCCCAGTAACCTCTTGAAACCACTTGCCTTCCCCTTGCCTATCCCCTGGCTATTTTTCTACAGCTCCGCACATTCATCACCGTCATAACCAGACACATGATATACATACAACAGAGCGAGGTTAGCAGAACGATGATAACAAGGATAGTATACCATAACATTACACGTCTATACAATTCACCTGCTGCATACACAGGCCGAGCATACACACCTGAGCAACCCCACAGAAGGAAGGAATTTCTTTCACAACTGCGAACATCGACATTCACGAAGTATTCGAATGAAAAAGCCGAAGCTACAGATAGATGGAACAGAGCAAGAGTCGGATGAAAGACCGAGAGAAAGAGAGAGTATTAAGAAAAGGAAAGTTTCGAGGAATAATAGACGCAATGAGGCGGGTGCAAGTAAGCCGATCTGAGCTTGATGAGATGAATCATCGGCTATGTCAACAAGCAATCTTCTTAAGAAAGAGAGGAAGGGGCAATTGATTTGGATGATATCTCGTCGCAACAGCTATGGAATCCATTAATCACGACGAACTGACTAAGCATTGGAAGACTTCTGTACTATCGACAGCAGCAGATGCAGCAGACGTGACTTTATGATGGTACAGGGTCAGGGATCGTTTGCGAAACATGATCAATTTAATCTCCAATTCAAGCTATTGTTTGACGATTGAATGTTTCTGGATGATTGGTGTTGTTAAACTGTTTCGCCTCGACTGGATACAATTGAAAAATGATTGAGAAGATACACAATTTCAATCATAGATTGAAACTATGATGATGACTGAGAACTTCAGCTACGAAGAAATGAGTCGAGACGATGGAAACGATAATTTTAACTGTTTGAGAAGAATGGAGATGATCATAAAAATTAGAATAATGACAATAAGGAGTCAAACCGCCATCAGCCGCAGCCCCTTCACCATATTTATTACACTAGAATCGGTTTCTCATCTATACCCCTTCCCTTAGCCCCCCTAGGCCCTCCTACCCCTACCTCTCAAGCCCGAGCCCCGTTTACCTATCCAGCCACCCAGAACCTATTCCTCGACCTTGTACTCTTCCAAACCCATAAAGATTCTGTATAGCACTCAAATCGGACTGATTTGGAATGGGAAAAAATTAAAGATACCGTTCGGGTCGATCATCTGTTCATTCATTCCTAGCTCGGAGCCAACTCGGTTGACGGCTTAGTTTTATTAGCTGCAGTTTCCAATTTGTTCGAGGTGCCTTCCGAAATTGCTCGGGACAGAGAAAGAGTTCCACTGAGTGTAAGAACCCTGAATGAACTGTCTCGTGATCCTACTATTCCGATGATGAGCGTCGTCGCCCTCAAGCCTCAACAACGAGGGCTCCGGGCTCCTGACTTGCAATAGAAGCGACACGACTTGACGTATGTGTCTGCTAGGCTCCACTGGCCCTTCGGACTCTCGGTGGAGCTGTCTGGTCAGCAGCAGCATTATCTATATCTTATTCTCGAGACTCGAATGGACCGGCGACATCAAATGAAAACACTGGAGGGAAAACCAACTGTGTAACCCGCGTGAATTAGTTGAGGAATTTTGAATGGCCGCCCAGTGGCAGCCATTACAATGAATGACCTACCATACGAATAAAGAGTCAGTTGGGGCTAAGTGCCTACACCGGCCTCATCGTGTCGTCATTGTGGTCTGACGCTATACTTCTTGTTCACAATGGTCGCAACTTGAGCAGCAAGAAAGGAAGATGGCACGCAGCCGGTGAGAGTTGTCTTGCGTGGCATTGTCGGAGGCGAGTGGTCATACTCGAGAGACATGCGCGAACGCGCCGCCACGCGACTCGATTTCGGAGCTCATATCCATATGGGTTGTTCGCGCTCTGGGGCATCGGGTAACGGCTCGCTTGGGATGCCCGATACGAGTGTGAGGCGAGGTATGCAATATCAATCAAATTCTCCGGAAAGACGCGTGCTCGGCGTATGACACTCGTGGGAACAAACAGTCTGGAACGAGAAGTCGTACCTCACCAGCTACGGACCTCGCCATGATTGTTTTCGGAGACTTCGTCATCGATAGTGACACCCCTGGCCACCCTCCTGGAGGCGTCTCGCGTCTCATCAGGCAGACGGCGAAGCCTTATGAAACTTCTGAGCAACGGGAGAATCAATCGAAAACATACGCGATCGTGGAGTTTGAAGCCTTTTAATCTTTTCGTCTCCGTAACCTGTTCTGGAGTTGATAAACGCTACTCGCAAAACTTTGCCGGTCGAGCAGGGGAGGCCAGCGCCGGATCCAGGATGCCGCGCGACGACCAATGAGCAACAGATCCAATCCATACATATGCTCTGCCTTAAAGGAACCGTCTATGCGGGAGAGATAGGTCACTGGAATCCGAGCTTTGACTCCCGGGGAAGTCGAAGCGATTCGACGTAGAGGAAACTCAGCGTCGAGAAAACTCGAACCGCACGTACTCCACGGTTCGACTCCCTTCAGGGATGTCGCTGAAGTCCTGAGGGCTTGTCTGAGATTCCACAGGGATGCAGTTTTCCATCGATCCACTTCTTCGATATCGAGACGGCATTCGGTCCGAAAGACGGACCGAGCAGCCTCCGGAAAGGCATAACCCCTCCTTAGTGTCGGGGCCTTCTCGAATTTCACAGGGGAGACGATAACTACCGAATATGCGCAGTATCGTGAGGTGACTTTCTGGGAGGACCAACGCGACGGTGGAGAAACTTTTTTCTTGCAGCAATCGGCGTGGTCCCCGCTGGGAGCGACCCTATATCATAGACAGAAACTAATTCCGTTCGGTATCATTCGCGTCATGTCGGGCTCGCCATACCAATTCGACTATGAAGACGAGGGCTGAATATTTCTCCGACGGTGCGAGCTGACGAATCGACGGAGACAAATGAGCTACGACTGACCGTTCCACGGCGGAGAGTTCGTGATTTCGGACCCGGGAGCGAACACCCTCGAAGACTTTTCGTTTCTGGCCTTAATGAAAATATCAGTATATGCATTTTGGAAGCTCAGTAATTTCGTCATCGGACTGATCGGTATCGATCGCGTATCGTGCGACAAGCAACGTCGTCGATCGGCGCCAGTCGATTCTATCCGATTCATGTGTAAATTTTCATCTCCCAGACAGGGAGATCAGCTCGCTGGATACTTGCGGCGGATTGCCTCGAAGGATCCTTTTTAACCTGATTCGGGCGTGGATTGGAAGACGGAGGGCTTCGCTCAATGCACATGTGCTGAGCAGCAGGGAGGAAGAGTCTCGATCGAGACAAATCGCCTCTAGTCTACAAGACAATCCTGCTCTCTTGGCGCGGTTCATTCCGATCACCAAACGCCGATATTCACTCATTTACGATCCCATGGAATGCCATCGGACTTTGTCGGGTCTTTATACTCCCTTTGGGAAGCCCCGACGGCTCGAAAAACTTCGGGATTCAATGACTGAATCGGAAAATTTTCCCGCATCCAGGATAGAGGAGAGAGTTACAACAGAAGAAGAGGAATGCTCAGCGAGACTCCCGGTGCCGTGCCGAGAACGGAAAAATGAGAAGAAGCTAATTAGCAAACCAACAGCTCCTTTGCTCCGTGGCCGTTGTCTCAGCGGTCTCATTGTTCTCACATGCGGGCTTTTAATCTCACTGTCATTTGCTATATTTACCCATCTCCTGATTCACTCAGCGGAGAGTGGCAAGGCCGGATGGGTGCCGAAATGAGTTAAGGGTGTGAAGTCTCCAATTTTGACGATGATGCAAATCTGCAATCCCCCTATCTGTCGATGGTCGTTTTTCGGCCGCGGAAATAGCGTTTTGTCTCGAGGAGACTATTTGAAAAGCTTCTCCGAGCGGAAGATTAGATTGTTACGATGTCTGCCATCGGCAGCCTTTGGAGAAATGGCGTCGCTTCGGAGAGAGAACTCTCGCCGAGGTTCGTTGTTGTCTGCACGGCTCAAGGGAAATATCCAAGGCGACCGCAGCTCTCAATTAGGCCCACCATCGACAACTCTTCCCGCGGATCTCTCTAATGGGACTCCTTATATAAGCTAAGTTCTTCAATGATACTGCGATGAACCGGCTTGAGGGCATCAATGGTCGACAATGTTCGCACTATGCGAATGGACTCATTCCGTATCCAGGCAGAAGGATTTTTCAGTCTGTTCGAGGGGGGGGTTCCTTTCCAGACTGGATTTCAGCCTCGACCTCATCATTTTGCCCATTGACCTCTGATCACAGAATCGAAATGCCCTCACCGAGTCCTGTACCTACAATATAATTCTCGCGCGGAGCCATCCTGAGCATGATCAGAGGCAAGATATAGTTTCGTATCGAGTAGAGACTCTATCCTCAACGGCCTCACTCATCTTCTGCGGGGTCATACCTAAATATATAAGAATTTAATTAGATGTGTATATCAACCTCGTTCACTCGACGAGTCGCTCGAGTCGGAGCCGCTAGCCCAGACGTGACCTGAATCCGGAAGGCGCGAACGCGAAGAAACTGTTCTATATCCCGACGGCCAGACCACAGAAAAATACGGGTCTGACATCTTTGGAATAGACTTGAAGCTGACTTATTCCCTCTGAAATGTTCATATCAGGGACGACGAACTCGTGCGCACCCAGCTGGTTCTCGTTTATTTACATTGACTGTTTACAGTGAACTCAATATCGTGATGCTTCGACTAATGTGCTTCCGGGGTTGTTCATCCCGTTTTCACCGGTCGCGGGGCCCTCGCTCGTCGAGCGATGTTCCCCTACTTCACATGTTTACATGCGCGATCCCTGCGGCGGATAAGCTTGTTCTGTAGTTCTCTCGATGGACAGGCATCATTGATGTCGTTCCGCGAAGCAGTTCCCGCCGCCGAAATCGTGGTTCTTCACGTATTCGATGAAGTCTCGTTTGACAAGATCGGCATCTTGATTGGCGTCCAGCACCTGTAAATGAACGAGGCGCTATACAGTCGGCACAATGTACTCCTTTCAGTGTTCAGATTACATGCGGTCTGCAAAATATTCGCGTCCTCTCTGAAGCGGTTGGGAAGTTAAAGCTCGGAGACCATACAGAATGTATTCAGGCTCGAGCCCACCAGTCCAGAATCAGCCGCGAATACTCCTCCAGCTAGAGCTGCCCGAACGCAGCTGCGTTGGGAGCGATGTGCTTTGACTGAAGAGTTCTGCGAAAGCACTGAATGATCGCTCGTGCTCTGTAGTTCCATAGGATTGCCCCGAGAAGATCATAGTTTCAAATCTAGAGAAGCTCGAGGCCTCGAGTTTTCCATTTCAAGAAGGGTTGCAGCGATGGGAGTGGGACGAAATTCGATAGACTGAAAGTCGAGGAGAGAACAGAGAGAAGTCTGAGAACAGCCTCCGGGATATCTTCTTGGGAATGATCGGCGCCAGGTGAGTCTGATCGCAAGTCGAACAGCTCATTCTCGAATATTTTTTTTGTCGTAGCATTCCGTTACAGGGTCATGCTCTGCGAAAACGTCAAGGCCAACCCATGGAATCCTCTCTCCGACCAGTTTCATTTGGGTGAACCAGCTTCCCTCGTGAACCGAGCCTCCGACGTCACTCGGGAGGCGAGGAATCGCCCCGCAAGCGCATAATGAGGCCGGGGATTCCAAACACATCGTAAGCGTCGCGAACGATGATGACTTTCGCCTCGACATCACTGTTGCTTATCAGAACGAGTTGACTTGTTTCTCCTCGAGATATCGATTGAGAGCTGATATCGGCTCCTACATGCATTCCACCCAGAGCTCCTCGTTCCCAAGTACGGTGGGAAAGCTCTGGAAGCGAGCTCAGTCCTTGATGGGGATGATTACACGGGACTTTCTGAGCCGCCGGTATTGAAAGCAGGGACGCTTCCATAGTGAAACTCGCGCGGCTCTGCATAAGGCAGGCCGCGAGCTCAGGTCGCGATCTCCGGAATCAATCCGGTATTTTCCACTATCTGACTTAATTTGCCGGAAAACTCGGTATCCACCCAGGTGATGTCGACTCACCACGCAGTTGGCCGGCATGGGGAACGAACTCCGGCCGGCGAACCATTCTTCGTGAAGATCGTGTAATGAATTCAGGTAGTCCATCGAAACTGTATTTTCGCCGTCTCGGTTCCGCTTTTTGATCCGGTCCATCGCGACGGCCGGGTCAGTTCGGAGATAAACGATGAGATCGACCACGCAGCATTCTGTTGTTATCAGGTGTTCGAACCATTCATCCAGAATGATCGTTTCTACTTCACTAAGGAGATTGCTGTGAGGACGAATCGTGTGAGCGAATGTTCGGAGATCTCGACAGGAATCGATCGGCTTTCGATTGCGGGCATTCAGCGGTTCACGAAAGCCATTCTCACCTTCTGAATAAATTTTCCACGAAACAGTAGCGCGCACTGTAGAGACTCCTTTCCATGAGCTTGAAATCCGTAGATACCGGGGCTCGGTGGTTCTGGAGCATTGTCAATTGGACGTATGTTTGCAAGGCCAGACTGTACTTCCGAGGGTTCTCGTACATCTTCTGGAGCAGGTTGAAGCGCCCGTCCACGGAGCACCATCTCGCGACCGGTTCGGGAATGATAGTCGAGTTCTTGAGATGCTCGAAGTTCCGGAGAAAAGTAGTTTTGCCGCTGCCGATGTTACCCTCAACCGCGATCTGTGACGGAAATTACGTTGGCTATGAACGAAGGAAGACGATACCTATTGTAGCACATCATAGGATCGATGATTCAATACTCGAGTGGCCGTGATGACGCAGAAACGTTAAGCTCTGTAGCGACTGAGTGAGACGTGAATCCGAGACGAATATTTGAAGCTCTCTGGATGATCTCACACTATGTGAAAGTTCGAGCTGGAGGGCTCCCGAGAGCTTCCGGAACGATGGGACAGCATGCAGAGGACCCATCGACCGAATCGAAGGAACAGCAATAATTATCCGCGAGAGATTCCGCGAGCCCGATGGCACTCAGGATGGATCCACACGACTCACCGTTAAAGGTCTCTTTGTGCGACTTGTCCAGCCGCAACTGTTCGGGCAGACGTTCTCCATGAGGACTGGAAGGAGGAGAGATCGCGGGCTTCAGCCTCAACCAGGAACTGTGCTGATATTCCATGGATCCGACGAGAGCTTGGGGCCTCTCAAAGCGCGCCAAGCAATCACCCTCTCCTCCGGGCAGCATGCTTCGCGCCTTCGCTAATCACAACACTTGAGTGCGTGGGAAACACTGCCCATCCGACGCAGCAAAGACTCTGCGCTGTGAATATCAGGAGGAGCCCGCGGCCTACTCCATCTCCGGCGGATCCGGAGCTCGAAAACTCACCGTTGAGAGCGTTCTGAGGCAGCATGTGGCATCGTCTCGTCCCAGTTTTAATTCCGAATGTGCGGAGTTTCCTGAGAACGATTGGTAACATGGCTTGTCGAAAGTTGATAGCTTCATGAATCGCCGTCACATCGGTCGGGTCACCAGCGAACAGAATTAGCGATCTCGGGAGAATTTCCACGGTATAAGGGGGTACGACTTCCGAGCCTCGGCGCACCGCGCGGTGGTGCCTGCGTATTCGGGAGAGAAATCGACGGAACTCAGTCGAGAATCAGTTCCGCAGCTGAGAATCGAACAGGTGGCTCACCTCTCGAAGAGCAGCACCGCGGCCGTTGGCACCTCCATGGGCTCGAACGGAGCATACAAAGAAAACTCTGATGTTGGGGGAAGAAGTTTCGGTCAGATTTAATGTCGGCCGCGAAAACCCCCTCCTCTTTCGAAATCTGGCGCGCTGTCCCTGCGGCGCTGGATCGAGTCAGCTGACATCCGCCGGGAGACGCCATGTTGAAGTCATATGATCAGGAAAGAGAGAGTTGTCAGTGTGTACTCGACGTTGTCCACTGGCGCTGTATTGCCCGTTTGGCCTGCTTGGGATCGAATTTTTCTCTCACTCGAGCCTGATCGAGCTTCCACGGAATCGGCGTCATGCAGGAAATACTTTTTAACGTTCATTCTGGCTATCTGGAAGGACTCGTCCGGGGTTTCAAGTCTGGAATACTCCGCCAGGCTGATTACCTCAACTTGGTGCAATGCGAAACCCTCGAGGGTGAGTCCGAATACCCCCACCCCGAACCAGAGCTTGGCTCCTACCCTCTCGCACGATCACGCTCCTAGAAATCCTCGAATACCGTCTATCGAATGTATCATCTGTCAAAAACCCGATTCCCATAAGGTCTCCCGCGTGTCCTCAACCTCCACTATCGACCCCCGAGTTCCCATCTGGAGTCCCAGGGAGCCAATTCAACTGAGAGCTTCGATATCCAGCGGAGTAATTCTGCAAAATCATTCTCGTAGCGGGGTGCGGAGTCTTTAGTTCCGTGGGAATTCTCGCTCAAGCCCAGGTCACGACGTCACGTGATTTGTGATGGATAAGCCAGATGAAGCGGCGATTTATGATCATTACAGACATGAAACTGCACTTGCAATCAACGGATTATGGCAATTTCCTCGCCAACGAGCCTTCGCCCCTGGCCGTGTCAACCATCGACGAGAAACTGCGCGAAAAACTAGTCATCGAGTTCCAGCACATGAGAACTCACGCCACCGAGCCGTTAGCGACTTTCCTCGACTATATCACGTAAGTGTTCGAATGCCCGCAACATCCGAAAGTGAATTGGGGGAGTCCCCGAGAAATCGGAGAAGAAAATGGAGCACGGTTATGCCATTCTCCTTAGTAAAGTTAATAAGAGCCCCGATTACGGATGACGCGAGTTGTTAGAGAGCGCCTGGCCCCGTGACTGTCACGAGGATTCCTTTCCGCGCGAAATCGTTCTCCGAGAGATTCAATCTCTAGAGGGGAGGGCTGCGAGACGAAACTTCATGTCTGATGAAGGATTGAGTCAGATTCATGTCTCTGTGCAGGTACTCGTACATGATCGACAACATTATACTTCTGATCACCGGAACTCTCCACCAGCGGCCGATTTCGGAGTTGATTTCGAAATGTCATCCATTGGGGTCTTTCGATCAGATGGAAGCCATCAACATCGCTCAGAACCCCGCGGAGCTCTACAACGCTGTGATCGTCGACACGCCACTGGGTAATGTTTACCTCTTGTTCTCCACGGTATTCGGGAGGGGTGTAACAGGTGAATCCATCGTCCCGCCCTTCACTGTGTCAGCGAAACCCGGAGTCAAACCAAAACTGGTGTCATCTTCTCGTTCCAGCTCCATTTTTCCAAGATTGTATTTCGGAACACGATCTGGACGAGATGAACATCGAAATCATCCGTAATACTCTCTACAAGGCTTATCTCGAGGCATTCTACAAATTCTGCAAGGACATTGGAGGTACAACCGCCTACATCATGTGCGAGATTCTCGCTCTCGAAGCGGATCGTCGGGCATTCACGATCACGATTAACTCTTTCGGCACTGAGCTCGAACGAGACGAGCGGATGAAGCTTTTCCCTCGCTGTGGAAAACTCTACCCAGACGGTTTGATGGCTCTGGCCAAAGCCGAAGATTACGATCAGGTCAAGATGGTAGCCGATTTCTATGGGGAATACAAGGCGCTGTTTGACGGAGCCGGAAATCAGAGCGGCGACAAAACCCTAGAAGACAAGTTCTTCGAGTACGAAGTCCAGCTAAACGTGAACTCATTCATGCTCCAATTCCAATTCGGTGTCTTCTACTCATACGTCAAACTCAAGGAGCAAGAAGCCCGTAACATTGTTTGGATAGCGGAATGCGTGGCGCAGAGACACCGCTCGAAGATCGACAATTACATTCCAATTCTTCCTTAGATTTGTTCTCCTGGCATCCGGAGCGGTAGCGTCGTAGGACGTGTATCGAGACAGAAAAAAAATGACACGGCGATACACTGGCGGTTCCCAATATCGTTTTCATAGCTGCGTTATGTTTTGGCGCACAGAGGAGCAATGTCCAGCGGCAAAGCAGAGCTGACTTGTTTGATTGACGAACAATCGGATCGTTTGGGCTGACTGTTTGACTGGCTGACTGACTGATGATTCTGTCTTCAAGAAATTCGAATCGTTTTTCTCATAGCTGTTTTAGTCTTATACTGAACCAAGTCATATCTGGAGACTCGACCCACTCGGGCGAATACGATTCCGGTCCGAGATCAGATTTCTGAGTGAGGAGAAGATCGGAAGGAGCGACGATCCGCTTCGTGTCGCTCGGTCGTTTTAGGAATCAAGTTCTTCAGTTCTTGTAAATTTAAGTCATTGACCGATGCGCGCGAAATAAAAGTTGAAGTTTGATGATTTATCGAGTGAGAGAGTTTTTATTACCTCGACCTCTTCTTGGAGAAACCTCTGTGGCGACCTCGTAGCCTTGGGTGTAAGGCAATGGGAGTTTAATTTCAGAGTTTGATATCCCTCCCTAGTTTCAACTCCAGGGCGTACCTTGCTCGATTCCCTGGACTTCTGAGTGAAGTATTCGAAATCTAATGGGACAAGCTTCACACACGTCACACTAAGTCTGCTGATCACTAAGATTAAAATGAGCCAGCTTCACACACGATTCCTCCCATTCTCCATATTTACTTCAAATCACATGTAGCATATCGAGTTTTCACCGATACAGCCGGACTCGGAGTCGTGACAAACGGGCCTTCATGTCGAGCGGAAGTAAGCCGAAGTGCTTGCGATACCACTCCAAATTGTACCTGAAAATTTTCCGGGCGGATTACTCGAAAGTCTCCGAAGTCCGATCGAAGAGAATCGCGATATTCCGAATGGAGAGGATTGAGTTGAATTGACTCACCTCCAGTGCTTCTCCCTGTTGTCATCCAGAAACTTCCTATAGAACACAGACATTCTCTCTGCGTCCAGTTGCGGTTCCTCGATCGTAGCGTTCAACTTTATGAAATCATTCCTCTGCTTGTGGAAAAGTTTATTGTGTTCTGTCCAGTAATGATGATTCCACAATTGGACCCCCTCATAGGCTTCCCTGGAGGAACGGAAAAAACACCCGCGGAATTTAGACGCTTCAGTCGCATCGCGAATCCTCGCAACCATTGATCGGCTGTCGCGGTAACTGACCTGTATACTCTCTCCGACGGTGTCTCATCTGTCGGAGTTGTCAGGAGCACCCTCCGGAGATTCGACACATCTTGAGGGTCTGACACTACGGTTGCCGTTTCACGAATTCTGGGAAGGTCCTGCAAGCGGAACGCGATCCATTAGGCATTCCGTAAGATTCAATGAGAGCGTCACGCACTCATAATGAATATCATCTCTTCGAATCGTTGTATCCCAGAATTCATGGATAGGACTCACCTCCGCGCTGATAGAATGAACTGTCGTTATCTGACCTTTGTCTTGGTTATCCCGGGTGGGCTTCGCGAGTTTCTTCGGACGAAACTTTGAGAGAGCGCTGCGGAGTGAATTCATACCGTTCTCCTCAACATCCAACCGGATAGCGATCCACAAGCTCACCGAATCGTCCAAAGTGTGTCACGAGAGGTCGTCCCCACATCAGATATAATCTAGAGAGGAACGGCTGTTGTATGGTTTTCCGTAACCTGAGAAGGTCCTTCGGCTAATATGTGTTTGGAATTCTTCCCTGACCCTCGGTGAGAACTTTCAGCTGGTCGCGCGTCGTCTGCTACCATGTGTTCTGAGTTCTGACACAAGAACAGATATCGAGACGGGAGAAAAGGAGGCCAGAGCTTCGGTTCCTTCGAATGTGAGCAAAAGATTCTGAACGTTCCAGCGCAGAGCCAGGGTACCGCTTGGTCGTGATTCGATCATTGGATATACCAAGTCCACGGAAGAGGCGAGAGTTATGAGCGGAGCGTTGGGGCAGCATTCGGACGGAAGAACAACTTGGAGAGTGAGACGACAACAATATGATTGATCTTTGTCCGGGAAGCTTGAGCGCGGTTTGCGTATCTCTCCATATTCCCTGAAACCACACTTCACGGTCTCACGGCTCATCTAGGCCGGAGGGTGAATATTGAGCATCACTCGGAGCGCGATACATTAAACTGGACCATTCTTGAGGTGAAAATCGATCCGACTCACATGTGTAGATTGGAGTATCTTCGTAGTTCTGCCCCGAAGTTTCCCAGCAGAGCTCGACGACGAGCTGCTATGACTGAATCGCTACTATGAACGATTGATATCGCTCTCAGCTATGATTTCTTTCTCTCTCGTCATCTTCTTCTCTCATTCATTTTCTCCGTTGCGAAGTGTTGAGTTCTCTGAATGAGCCAGAAAGACTGGACCCAAATGTCCTGAGCGTCGAACTGGCGTTATTGCGATCGCTCCCGATGTTTCATCCCCACAAGAATGATTGCTCGATGCACTGATGCCTCCCCAAGCATGTCAGCAAACTCGCAAGGGATATCCAGGCGTGCGTCGCTCTCCGGGTCGAATCTTCATGACACAGACGCCCCCGAAGCAAAACGGACGAATAACAAGAACACCACCGAATCCCCGGGTCATGGGATATCCGTGGTGCCAAAAAGTATTTTGGCTTGCGGTCGCTTGGATCTCCTCCGTCTTCTGATAGCCGAAGATCCTCTATCTCGAATCCGAAGGCTTCCTCCGCATACGACCCGGCTTCAAAGCCCTTGAGACTACCTGGTCCGTGGAATCCCAAGACATTCTCGGATATCCGGTGTCTGTGCTCGGGGCTCGACGCTACCCAGGTAGTACGCGAATCCATCGTGGAGTCTTCGGATCGCGATCCCAAGTAGCTCGAATCCGAGTGCGAATGAAATCGCCATCAAACAACCGGCGAGGATAGGTTGTAACTCGCGGAAACTGTCCATATCGAAGTCGTTCGGTCTGGCGTCGGATCCAACGACGTTCCCTTCCTCTACAGATCGTTTCTTGCTGAACCTTTCCCTGATTGCATACGCGGGGCTCTCTAGGTACTCCGTCACCTCTCTGTACTTGGATTCTAAGCGAGAACTCGATAAAATACCAGTTTCCAGGAGGCGACCAATGAACATGCTTACTCTTATGGGATTCACGAACAGTCGCAATGTTTCGATTGGCTGTTTGATAAGATCAGCCTGCAGATAGAAAACGTTTCAATTGAAAATTTTAACGTGTTCTTGATGCGGTCTATACTTGAGCATTTTTCGGTGCAGCGGCAGTCCGACAAGAGCCCGCTGCGCGTGATTGAGATTGCATATGCAGGTTTTCGCCAGGAGATGTCTCACCGGTCTCATCCTGTTGTAAAAAGAGAGTTGATAGAGACAGATTGTCATTTTTTCGCAGCGCTCGAACTCTTGCTTTTTCAATAACGAAGATATGACGAAGTTTGGATAGACTTGAGTCAGGAAAAAACACAAAATTAGAGCAAGGCTTCTCGCCATCATTTGAGAGAATCGATGAACTTCCGGGTTTACATCGATCGTCGCGACGAATTTTAGGCTTATTTCGACAATCTCGGCTGCGAAACTAGTCCTACCCAACCATGCGATTATCCCGGCCAGTATCAGAACATTCGCGGAGACCAAAAGCCAAACCCCCGAGTCGAAGGGTTCCAGTAGTGCGGATGCATCGGTATGTCGCCAATGTATGAGGGAGAAAGATTCATCTTTCGTGGATTAAAACACTGAGAAGCGCATGGGCATTATCTGATGGAAACCGCGCCTAAACACTTCGGTGAGGAGGGAATCAGTTCGGATAAGAGTCTTGTTGCATGTCAAATAGGGGTAAATCGGTAATGACGGTTTACTACCCGGGTACAGCCTTCGGAAAGCTAAGATCGGGCCGGAACACCTATATAGAACCGGCCCACACTCGCTTACATCCGCGTTTGTTCTCCAGACGGCCAAGCGGTCGACGGTGTGAACGCAGATAAATCTGCGCTTCCCGTCAGCGTACCAACGCAGAGTGTGCAGACTCACGGGGACATCCTTGGATATTTTTGTCTCCAGAACGATATGAAGCCGAACATTGTGATGGATATCGGAGAAAGGTTGCCAAGCGGAATTAGGGATCGTCGACGAGATCACTGTGGTCTTCATGTTAGTAGCCAAAACGTCAAGGAACCGAGGGGTCACATTACTCGTTGACTTTTCAAGTTTGCTCCATGACGGGGTCATCACGAGAACACTGCCTCGACATCTGACTGAGCCTCTCTGAGGATGTCACATGGGTCAGCAGAATCAGCAATTCCTCCGGTGGAATGCTGTACTTCAGTGCGAAACGCTCGGTCTCGTCCAGAATATCGCTCATTGATAATCTCTGTGGATGCACGACTCGAGCCTGCCGTACTCAGAACATTCACCATCGATACCAGAATCAACATCGGCATCGCGATTCAACGCCGGGAACTCTCGTCGGAGGGGGTGCCGTGAAAGCGGATCGACGTCGAGCTCCGCGCCCTACGGACGGGGACGTTTCCGCAATCTACCAAAAGTACGAGCGATCTCACTCGACAATCGGCCGTGGCTCTCGCCGCCAGTTCGGGACGCAATACCCCTGAGCTCTTCGCCACATATTGTCCCCGATTACCTCCGCGCCACAATCGTCAAATGCGTTCGTATTATACATTCGGTCAGCTTTTTCCATCGCTTACTCTGAGAGCTCGACATCTCCGCAGCACACCCACCCAAGGTCAAGCTCCAGAATCTTGCGTTCAAATCAGGCGTTCTGGATTGAGTGTCTCGGGACCCGTCGTCCCGGAGGTCCCGAGAGTCATAGAAAACAATTTGTGGTACGATTTATGCTCCGATGGGAATATATATATTCGATAAAATTTGCGCGAACAGCCATAAAGCGCCAGAATTTCTTACTATCCTTTTTAGAAATCGTATACTCTGATGGGATCGAGTTCCTTCGGCTGGCGAAGGCACCGACTACTTTTGGAATGACATGTCAAGGGTCCCGAGCACAGTCGAGAACTTCAATGGGGTTCCCGCGGAAAGGAATGGGAACCGATACTAGATGGATGAGTGAGCCCCAGTACGTATGTATCTCCATAATTAAGCTCAGTCGATAGCCAACGAACGCACAGGAAGTGCTCGGCACGAATATACCCGTCCTGCTGAGCAGACGGGCAGGGGGGTTCGTATACATGCGACGATGCGGTCGGTCAGTTGGTCTTCTTGACTGATCCGGTACCTTGCTTCGACGCGGCGTCAGGCGCGTCCGTCCGCCTTTTCCAGGATTTTTCTCTGCGGATGTCGGGAATGGTGCCGAGGATCGAGGAGTTTTCGCTGGGTTTGAATTACAGAGCGACGAGCCGCTCCATCCGCTTCCTCATCAACTTCGAGTTGCAAGCCGAATTTGGATGGATTCGAGGGTCTGATTAAGACGAACGATCGCTCGAGAATCGCATTCTCCTCGGGAGCGTGGTCGCAACGAAACTTGCGAGCCGGCGCCGACACTTCCGGATGCTGCTCGAAAAGATTCCGAACCCGAGCGCACAGAAACTCGCCATGATGAGAACGGCGAAGATAGGTTGTACCTTACGGAAACTGTCCATATCGAATTCATTCGTTCTTGCGTTCAATCCCACGAATTCTCCCACCGCAACATGGCGTTTCCCGTAGCCCCTCTCCCTGAGGGCATACGCCGCGCCCTTCAGGTACTCCTTCTTTTCCTCGTACTTGGCCTCTAAGCGGGATCTAGATATGAGACCGGTTTCAAGGAAACGGGCAATTATCAAACTGACCCTTATCGGATTCACCAGGAGGGGTAGTAAGTGCATCGGTGTCCGGGGAAAGATAACAGTCTGGAGATGGAGAACATTCTGATTATAACTTTTTTCGCGCTCCATATGAGGTCTATACTCGAGCATCGCCCGGTGGAGAGTCAGTCCGACGAGGCTGCGCTGCGCGTGATTTAGATCGCACATACAGGTTCCCGCTAAAAGGTCGACCATGAGTCTATTTCGGCTGTAGCAGGAGAACCGTAAGAGGCAAGTTGACATAACTTCACAAGAGTTGAATTTTTGGCGATTCAATAGTGAGGACATGACGAAGTTGAGATAGATTTGTGTCATAAAGAAACACAGGGCTAGAGCGGAACTTCTCGCGATTATCTGAGAATATTGACGCACAGCCGGACCCGTATCCGTTGCCGAGACGAAATTTATTGCAATCTCGATGAATTCGTCTCTGAAGCTGCTTCTTCTCAACCACGAAATCATCCTTGCTAGTATCAGAACACCTCCCGAGAGCAGAAGCCAAACCTCGGAGTCGAATGGCTCGAGTAAAGCTGAAACATCAGTATCTCGCCAACGTATTAGGGAGAAGCACTCATTCTTGGTGGATGAGAATATTGAAAAGCGCATCAGCATGATACCATGAATGACGCGCTTAGGTACTTTATTGAGATGGTAACGGACCAGAATTAGCGTCCCATTACATCGAAGAGCGAGGTCGAGATGCAAACTCGGTTTCTCACTCTGGTAGCGTCTCCTCAGAGCTAGATCGACGGAACAAGCACTT